AACTTAATTTGTATAATAACAAATAAATATAAATTACATGCAAGAATAAAAGCTCAAACTAAAAGCTTAGACAAGATGTCAAACTAATTATCTGCAACCTAAACCTACTAGAGTGGTCAAAGCTCACCTAAATTTGGTGAAAATTAAGTTTCTATTATTGCTTCAAACAACAAATAAATAAAAAAAAAAAGTATTGTCACTTTAAAAAATACACTAAAATGATTCGACAAATATAATTTTATTTGTGTGTATTTGCTTGTTCAAAAGTTATTGCAATCTAAATTTCATATGTTTTTACTACTTACACTACCACTATGCTATTGCTAATTATAAAAAAATTATGATTTTCACTATATAACCTATATTATGTTTATAATTAAATATATATTAGATGCTCCAGTATGCTAAAGAGGCTGGATTAGTAATCTTAAGTGTATTGACAATCTTGCTCATATTCTGTAATTATTAATGTTTAAAATATGACTATTAGAAGCTGAAATATTATTGAGCTATCTTAATAATTTTTGAAGTATAAGGTGATAGCAATTGATCAAATTCGTGAACTTAGATATTTTTTTGATGCTGAAATTTAATAATTTTTAATACATTAAAAAGTAGTTAAGCATTGTGAATTTTATTTTTTTTGCAAGTTTTACTTGCTGTTAGTAATAATCCCAAAATTAGTAATACTAATATCCAATTTTAGGCTTTTTCAAGACAACATCTATAACCAAATGTTGCGTTAATTTAATATTAGCACTTTAAATCTTAGTTGTAGGTGTATAAATAGGCCCAAAAATTGTACTTTTGCTAACCCACAAATAAATTTATTTGTTTGAACTATATTTTATATATTTTGAATATCTTGCCTGTAATTTTATTAACATAACTGTGTAAAAAAGAAATGATTTGTGTTTTACTTATTTTGACTTAAATAATAACTATAATCATTTTTTTAATCTATTAGGCTATTCAATAGACTTCTTGAAAAAAGCACTTATAATCAGTATTGACATACTGAACCAACTTTGTTCTACTGGACTTATAAACTGGAACTTTGGATTTATAAATTCCAATTGAAATGTATATGTCTATTTTCAATTCAAATTACTGGATCTATAAGGGCAACCAACACTCACTTGTAGTGTTTCGATCTTAAATCTGATGTTACTATCAGTGGAAGAGCGAAGATCGATAAATATGCCAATTTAAAACAGGATAGTAAATGATACAAGTTAGGAATATTGACTGTGAAAAGATGTCAAGTGAATACAGATGGGTATAATTAAAGGTGTTTTGGAGTAAATGATACAAGATAAGATTAATAATATTTAAGGAATTTGGGCAGATAGTAATAAGGATTTAAATAGTAATTTCAACAATGAGATAATAAACAGTGTATAAGTCTTAAAATAATCAAAGATGTATCAAGATAACAATGTATTAATAAAATATCAATAAGCATTAACTTAATACTAACAAGAAGTATGAGAATTTGATTATACAAGATAAATATAAGTTGCTTTTGGCTTTCAAATACCTACTAACTTATATAAGTGTTTGAGTTTTTATTTAAACAAATCAAAATCTGAAGAAAATTTTATTGAAGTCAAAAACAGGCCTTTAAATATATAATCATTTTACATAATTAAATACAGTACTTAATTGATGGTTTAATTCTTTTTCATCAAACAATACAAAATTTACAAAGACTCTCATCTCTTAATACCAATGCAAATTCTTTATAGGATTGTCTCTGAAACTCTCAATATATCATTTCTAACTATTTTCATTTTAAAAGTTCATAATAATCTTTTTAAAGAACAAGCAGGGGTTTTTATAACAAGTAAATGCTTGTTGTTTGCCTTTGGAGTCACCATTAGACTTTGATTCCTTGTTTAATTTCGGAATCTTTTCCTGATAGCAGTGCAACAATTAGAAAATAAAGAAAAGATTTGTATTGTCTTATAACAAAACGACAATACTATTCATGCAGTTGTTATCAATGTTAGAAGTATACATTCTCGATCTTGTTATAGTATAAATAATATATAAAAGAATAGAATTTGACATATATAGAAAGTATAAATAAAGAAATGATAAACTATAGATATATAGGACCCCCACAGCAAAACGAACCAGTGGGCAGACCAATCAGATTTTGAGATTTTATACCGATCATTTACTTAAGAGTCTTGTTTTTATAAGGATATTTTTTTTTTGCTGAATATATTAGTAAAATATGTATGAATTTAATTTTTTTTCTTTGTTACCGTTATGGTAAAAAATCGATTAACATATGTACCACATACAATGATTTACAGCTGTATATATTTTTAAGCATAAATCATGTTTCTTAAATGCTATGATAACTAACTATTTGCGTATATAAATGCCATAGAATTACACGCTTGAACTTGTAAAATGCAGAAGCAATAGATAATTTGGGCGATGTAGCATTTTGATAAAGTACGTACATACGTATGTACGTATATGTATGTATATACAATACGTATCAGGTATGTACGTACGTACGTACGTATGTACGTATATAATTATACAGATGTGAAGAATTTAAAAATTAAAGAACTTTTATTGTTTTTTTTTTATCTTAAAAGTATGGAATATAATATACGTTCTCATGATGATAGTATAAATGAAGTCGTTTTATCTACGTTGAAAGAGTTAGATGATACTTTTTTTGCCGATTATTCAGATTCTGAAGGCGAAGAATCTAACTCTGTATTAGACGATGAATCAATATCGGATGATGATTTTCCTGATATTCCTTTAAATAAATTAAATGAATTTAACTTTGTAGACATTCCAGACAATTACATTGAAGATAAAATTTACGATGATTTAAAATTAAAAATTAAAAAATTTTTTGATAAAGGTCAGTGCTCATGCCGTTCTAAACAATCCTGTTTTGAGAAAATCGGGTATGAAAAATTTCTTGCACGTCGAGCTGAATTTGAAAGTTTAGAGAAAAATATGCGAGATATGGTTATTAAGAGGCAACTTCTAGCTTTTCAAAGAAATGAAAATACAGATAAGGTTACTAATGATGATAGAAAAAATTTATGTTTTAGCTATTGTTATAATATAATATTCCAGTGTGTCTTGATACATATTTAAATCTTGTTGGAGTTGGTCGTACATATTTAAAAAATATTAAACAGCATTTGCAAGAGTACGGCCTTGAAGAACGTATACATGGCGTATTGAGGTTAATTATGATTTGGCATGTGACATATTTAAGTTTTTAAAAAACTATTCTAACATACATGGTATGCCCTCACCTGGACGTCATTGTAACAAAATTACTACACCAATTGTATTTCTTCTGACAAGTTTTAGTTATGCATCGGTATATCGCGACTATATTCAGGCTTGTAAAGATAAGTATGGTAAGGATGCTCGTATTTTGGCTGAATCAACCTTTACTAATATTTGAAAATCATTAATGCCATCACTTCAATTTATGTCCTCGAAAACTGATTATGTGAAACGTGTGAAATAATGAAAATGGATATTAGATATGCTTCACAACATGAAAAAAAATTAGAACTTATTAATAGTTACTTGGCTCACTTAAATCGAGCACAAAAAGAATGTGACTACTATAATGCTAACATTATAAATACAGTTACAGGTAGGACTGTCCCAAATTAGGAGATGATGATCCCGATCATGCATATTAGATTTAACCAATAAAATTATTAATCATATGATAAATATCATGTGCTGATTAACCAATAAAATTGTAAACCTTATAAAATGAAAAGAAACGAAATTTAATTAAAATTTATAGTTAAAGTCCCAAATAAATATTACCGTTAAATAAGTAAACATATATTTATTAATTTAAATCAAGATTATTATTATTTAATAGTATTTATTTTTATTTATTTACTAAAATCTCACGTCTAATTCTATCTTTAATCTACGTCTAATTCTATATTTACTCAAATTTTTAATATTTTACACTATGCCAAATTACATTAAACAACTATAATTCTAATAAGAGACCATTGCGACATTAATATACATCGAACATATAACCTTTTATCGTATCTTAAAAGCTCCTATAATAATAAAATTAATAAATGGTATAGTTAATTAATATTATTCGAATACTTTCAATTTCTCTAAACAATTTTTATACAATACATATAATAAAAAAAATATATAAAAACTAATTTTTTTCTTTCTATACTATTATTCTTAATCGTTATTTTGAGTTTTTTTTTGCCTTTTTTTTTGTGAAACAAGTAAAAATTTCGGCAAAGTAATGGTTAATTACTTATAATTTCGATCAGTGAGGTGTAATATGAAAGTTGTTACAGTAGATTAAGTTGGATTAAGCGAATATGTTGTAAGGCAAGGTGAGAACTTTAAGTTTCTCTAATAATCTACTGTGTTTCATAGAGGAGATAATCTACCCGAGCTTCCAAAAAAAGTATTGTAAAACATATAAAAAAAAATCTTTAATTAATTGTGTAATGATCTACAGATTGGGGCACTTAGGACGTTCCTACCTCGAGCATATGATATAGTGATTATAGTAAAAAATTTTCTGATCAATTTTTAATAGTAATGACTATTAAAAATATCTTTTAATTCTTCGTGTAATATTTAATATTGCTTAACTCTATAAGAAAAAAATATTTAATGAAAGGTGTCTTCACATAGTAATAATGCTGGAATTTTTGTTTTACTAGAAAAATACCTTTTTTTCATGGGTATCAAATTTTCTTCATGGGTACCAAATTTAGTCATATGATAGATTAAGTTGTACAAGTAGTACAAGTAGATAATGATAGCGATTGAGGTACTTAAACTTACATTTAATATTTTGCTTTTTCTTTGATTTTTTTTTCCAATATTTAACAATTAATTTTAGAAGTGAATTTCTTTACAAGTGCTTTTACATGATGAAAACATTGTTGAATAAATCTGTCAAGTATAACTAAAATATAATAAAAGGTATTTATTACCCTTATAAATGTAACATAAGCATATTTTTTAAAAATTTAATACTATTTAACTACAAGATCTAACACTTATTTATTAATTAAAACTAGAGAATGTATATGTGGGTAGCTTTGCTGCCTATAATTTTTGAATTTTATTATTTATGTAATTATAAAATAGTTTGGTTATATATAATATAATCAACAATTTAGAGTATAAAAGGAATTAGTTAAAAAAAAAAATTTAAATTACATATGCATTAGTTAAAATAATAAATTTTTATATTAACAAAATAGTAGAGAGTTGTTTTATTTTTTTAGATTTGAAGTATTTTGGTCTTGTTGGTTTTAGTTAGTGAAGTTTTTATGTTGATCTGTTTAATAGTAGTAATTCTTAAGTTTCAAGTTCTAATTGTCTATATTCTCTGATCATGGATTGGTCTGTAATAAAAGCAGTGTTACTTAGTGATTGTATTTTTAAATGATTCTATATCAGCAAAATATATAAACGTAAATTTATGTAAATTATTATGATCTGAAATATTGTGGAATAATTATAGTCTATGCAGAATATTTCGAAATAAATTACGAAATATTATGAAATATATTTCGAAATATTACGAAATATTTTTTGAAATATTATAAAATATTTTTCAAAATATAATGTAAAACAATTTGAAATATTTTAAAATATTTTGAAATAATTTGAAACATTTCACAATAAGCTAAGTTAACTTTTAAAATATATTTCGTAATATTTTGATAAAGATTACATAAAATTACAAAATCAATAGAAATATTATTTAAAATAATGTAATTTATTTCGAATCTATTCGAATCAATTTGACTTCACTAGACTTCATAAAGTCAAGCCAACAAATATTTATAAACTTAAAATAATTTATTTGATTGTATAAATATAAATTAAAGTGAAATAATCAAAATATTGCAATATATTTAAAATGAGTAAATTTAAGTTATATTAGATAAATTTGAATTAATTTGAATTAATTTAAATTTATTAAAATTTGTTTGATTATTTTATTATTTTATTTTATTTAAATTTTAAAAATTACATATAAAAAAAGCTAAATTATAGATAATCGTATATAAAAAATAAAAGACAAAAAGCACAGCATTATTTAATTAAAAAAAAAAAAATAAAATAAAAAAAACTTTTACTTATCATTATCCGAATCTTCCTCATTATTATCTAAAACATTCTTATCATCTTCATCACCCAAGGTTAAAGAATCATCATAATTAGGATCATTTTCACTTGCTTCTGGTTCTTCGTCTTGGTCTTCATTATCTTCATCCGATTTAACTTAAACAACTTCAGATTAAAAAAAAATATTTTTAGCAAATTTGAACTAATTCAAATTAATTAAAATTTATGCACAATAAGTTAAAATATTACTTACCAACCTTTGGCCTTTTATAAGTCTAAAACAATTTATAAAATTTAATATATTTAATTAAATAAAATAAATTATAACAAAAATTATACCTTTTCAGATCTGTTCGAATCTAATTTATGTTTTCTAACTTGATCCTAATAAATTTGAATATATATTTATAAATTTAAAAAAATAATTATGTAAAGTAATTTAAATAATTTAAACTTATTTTTACTTTATCAACTTTATCCTAAGACTTGACTTTACTATTTTTGCTTTATTCAGATCTTGAATCATCTTCGGAACTTATAGAAAAAAGTCTGTTGAATTTTAATTTCTCCTAATAATTTTGAATAGTTTCGAATTGTTTCAAATTAGATTAAAAAATTTAAATATATTTAAATTAATTATAAATAAATACTTACTAAATTTCTTGCTAGTAATTTTTTAACAACTGTATCTGAAATAGTTATTTTTTTATAATCCGGATTTAATATAGTTTGAGCTACAGCAATTGCAAATGCAACATTTTCTGTTGTTGTATCTGCATTAGGCCAAATTTTCTTTAATATTCTTGTTATATATGTCTTTTCTGAACTTTCTTCTACTTCTTCAAACAGTAATTTGTAACATTCTTTTGTTTTACTTGAGCTTTTCTATAATCGTACTGCTTCTGATGAAGCTGTATTATTTATAGGTTCTAATAATTTACCAAAATGAAAAAAGTCAAATTCTTCATCTTGTTAATTAAAGTTTCTTGCAATGCTCTAATTTTTTCTAATAGCTAAAAATATAATAATTTAGTGAAATAATCATTTAATATATTTTGAACTGTTTCGAATTATTTTAATATATTTCAAACTATTTCGAATTTTTTATAAAAATTCAAACCTATTCAAATTATTTTAAAATAATTTGAAACTGTTTGACTTATTTTAAAATAATTCGAAACAATTCAAAACAACGAAAATATAAAATTAAATAAAAAGATTTTACTGGTCCATATATATTCTTTGTATAATATGCATTCCACTGATTCTGTGTATATCTTTTGTAATCTTCTTTATAATTAGTCTTGACATAACTATCTACTGCCTTTCTCATCTGGTCTTCTTTAGCTTTAGTTATAAGTTCTTTTGCTATACCTTTAATTGTATTCTATAAATAAAATTTATTAAAAATTATTAAAAAAATTTTATTATCTTTAAATAAATTATTATAATATTAAAATAATAAATTAAAACTAAAAAATTACTTCTTTAAAGGTTTTTTCATTAGAAAAATCAAAGTTATTTTCTAATTTCTTCTCAATTTCTTTTAATCTAGATTTTATACTTCTTACTTGCTCTTTTATATCTTTTACTTCATTTAGAATCTCTTCTTGATTCTTAATAATTTTGGCAATAGATCTTGAAAACATTATTATTAAATAGATTATAATTAATATCATAATATAAAATTAATCTGAATATATTTAGAATAGATAATATACATTCAAAACTATTCGAATCTGTGTAATTAGTCATAGATCCACTAGTTCCAATTTCAAGAGTTTCAATTTTATTATAAAAGCTTTCACTTAAATTAGTTCTACGGGTAGATTCGAGAGTTGGTTTTTTTGTAGTCGACCTTTTTTGAGATTCTTTAAACTCTTTTTTGAAGCAACTAAAAGACCTTGAAATATTTCTAAATTAATTTAATTTATTTAGTTATGTGTTTATTTATTATTTTTTAGTATCTAAAATAAAATTACTTACTTTATATAAAAAAAAATAAAAAAATCTTAAAATAAAGTTAGTAGTATAGTAACAAGTAAATAATAAATGAAAAGCTTAAAAATTTTAAAGTTAATTAATAAAAACTAAAATAAATCAAACTGTTTCATTGCTAAAAAGATTTTATAAAATTATATTTAACAAAAAAATGCAGTTTAATTTAAAATTTGTTGAACTATTTCAAATTGTTTCAATTTGTTGAAATTCAAAACAATGTTGGTTGTTGATCTAATTATATCCTATTTATATTAAAATTCAATATAGTTTTACGTGATTTAAATATAATTATATATATATATATATAAACTTATATTAATTAAAATAATTCTCTCATTCTGAAAAATTTTAATGTTTAAAAAATTAATCTAAACTAAACTAATTGCTTAATAATATAAACTTTAATTTATTTTAAAATAATATTAATATAACGAATTAAACTTATATAGTTTAGAATAATTTAAGTATTTTAAAATAAATTTGCAACAATTCGAATTTCTTTGGAATTAAAATTTATCCTATTTTAAAATAATGTTAACGTAACAAATTTAATTAATATTCTGATTAAAAATAGGTTGCGTAAGTTAAAATTAATTCGCATTGTATCAAAATTATTCAATTTGAAAATTTAACCTATTTTAAAATAATGTTAATGTAATAAATTTAATTAATGTGCAGTTTTGTATAGTTTGTATTATTTAAAATTAATTTGCATTGTTGCAAATGTATTTGATATAATAAACTTTATTTTATTTTAAAATTACATAATAAATTTAATTAATGTAAAGTTTTGAAACATTTGTATTATTTTTAATATATTTGAAATGATTCGAATTGTCTTAATGGATTTGAAATAAATTTAAAATAACTCTTTTTGATTTGTAATGTTTTGCTTTTTTTAAATTATTTTGTAAATAAAAGAATTATTAAATATTAACATAATAAACAAAATAAATTTAATTCATTAAAACAAAAAAAATATTAAATTTAGTCTTTAGATATAAATAAGTTAAAATGTATTTATATTTTTCATTGTATTTAATTATTTCACTTCTATTAACTTTATATTCTTAAATCTTCAAATCATATACTTTTACCCTTTTTTAAAGTAATAAAAATTTTCATTTTAAAAATGTCTAACTTCAAATGCTTCTTCTGCCCACATATCTTTGCATCC